CGAAAGGATATTTTGTGATGTTGGTTTGCTTGTTTTGGAGGGGAAATTATAGAGGGGTTTCTATGGGTGATTTTGAATACCAGACACTTCAGTAGAGTGGACACCACAATTGGGCTGTCATACGCTTTACCCAATCTAGCTTAGTCACGTCGCCAAATAGCTCGAAAATTTATCCTTTCCCTTCCCTTTAAATCCATTCAATGCTTCTTTGCAACCTTCTTACCTGCATAACCTTCTTCAACCCATCCACACATACAAAGTCTTTCATTTCTCGAGCATTCTCTGATTGATATGGATTTGGCTTGGGATATGACTTCGATTCTATGTTGACATTTTATCTTTTTGATTATCTTTTTGAATTGATCGAATTACTTACAACAGCCGCTCTCAACAGCGTTTAATCCTCATGGTATGTTTATGGATTTCTTTTGCTCTGCCGCATGCACACACTTCCTAGCATTTTTTGTATGATGACAAAACCTTCCATTAAGAACGGCCTTCTGAATAACCATGTCGATTCAATCAATATATCAAGCTCAACAGTCTGACTCTATCAATCAAATGCCCTTCATCATTATCGTTGCAGAAATCTTCACACAAGGATTTAGCTAACAATTATCAAGGTTTTTAGGGATTTTCAACATTGAGAATAATTCAGACTGCCGCATATCGTAGCATATGTATAGAGCTCAACCCAGCAAGCCATGGTAGACCGACGCGGGGTCATGGTAAATATGGACGATTCGTTCGTGATATTGAATCAATCACCAGGGCGTGATATCAAGGCGATTTTGGTCATTTCAGGAATTCTCATGAAATCTTTTAATCTTTCAATATGTTCCATTTTATACATAGCAATAATAAATCTTTGGCTCAAGTTTTGTCTGAAAGAACCTCGGGAAACTCGCATCCAAATGAATGTTCACGGGACTTGAATTGAACTGAAGTGATTCACTATGACCACAAGCCAGACCACAAGCCAGACCACCTTTGAGAAACAATATTCCGTTTGAAGATTCTTCCATGTCCAAAATGATGAAGCGGTGTGATTTACGTCGTAGTAGTATGGTATTATTGTCTTCCCTCCAACACATCAATACTTTCGTGATGACCACTGGTGACTTGATGCTCTTACATGACATGGTATTGTTGGTAAAAGTCATATTTCTGCCCCTCTTCTTTTGGTTCGATAAGTCCTTTTGACTTGTTGTTGGTCTGCACTGTGCAGTTGTTCATCAGCCTAGCGAAACTTGAGGAATTCATTGTTTTCTGAGTACATGAAATTCCACTTACCACTGACCTACCGTTCTGCCATTCTACCATACTCAACCTCATACTCATCATACGCAAACTCAAACTCACCCTTACCCTTCAAAGACATACAATCGCACCAAGTTGCAACTCGAGGAAAAGTCAAGGAGTTTCTAGCCCGACTCCAAATACTACGACGACAATTGGCTTTGGCTTGCTTGTACTCCCAATTCCACCCACAACATTCAAACAAACGCAACGAACGCACAAGGCTTTCAGTAACAAGGTACGCTAAAGAGGCAACCATCAATTTCCATTTCCAGACCCTCAGCCTCCTCATCCCATCCTTATTATCACCTACAATCGGACGGAGCTTTCCAAAAAGCTCGGCCTCTTCAACTTTAATCCATCCCCCACGTTCAACACAAATACCAAGACCAAGACCAATACCAATACAAATACAAATCACAATACTTATAAGTTATACATATTAGGCTGTGCAGCTTCGTCTGCCATATTGTATCGGTGAGGTGAAAATGCCTTGCTTCAAAGGTATTGCTGTCAGTGTTCATGCTGAAGGATCACCGCTCCCTGAATATGGAGTAACTCGACAATCAAGATTCAGTCGTATTAACACATACATCCCCGTCCCTCAACCCAAAATTCCCCGCGATTCGACCACCAATAAACCTGAAGCCGCAAAGTTTGCTATCTCAATTACGTTGTTAACTCCAGGTCTTCCCATTCCTTACAGCACGCCGAAAGCAACACCCGCGAACCCTTATCCTCAGCCTCAAACCGTCACTGGTTTGCCTGGCTTTGGCGAGAAAACAAATTTCGCTGGTCAAGTCGGTCCCTACATACCAATCACCAAGTCGGAAAATGAAACAATCGCTGCATATATCTATTTTGATGGCAGACCAAAGGAAGAAGTGGCCACTCTTTTACGACCAAGCGAAGAGACATGGGTAAATTCTCGATGGGTTCAGGTTCCAGACTCGGAAGGAGGAGGACTGGCTGAGCGAGAGTTCTTGTTCCGCGAGGTTGGTCTAGAGCGATGGTTGAACGGACTTGATCTTGACGGACAAGATGCCGCTGCAAGAATCGAAAAGCGTCGACAAAAGTTTGAGAAGCGTCGTAGGCGCAGAAAGGACGAACTTGGCAGTGATGATGAACTCGCAGACATGATGACACCAAGAAAGAGATCCACGGCACGAGAGGTTCTACGATACGGAGCAGATGACCAATCGCCGGTCGAGACCGTTTCAGATGACGAAAGTTTTAGCTCAGACTCGGACGACGATGATGCTTTACCGGAAGCTGCAGGACAAATCAAGGTTGCTATGTTTCGGGTACTCGCATCTGGAGAAATTAAACGCGGCGAATACTCTCCACAATTTGATGCTCATGATGATGATGAAGAAGGAGAGAAAGGCAATGGAGAAGGAGGAGAGGGGGATGTTGATCACACCACAAGTTTTGCAAAGCCTAAGACATTGGATCCAAAATCTATTAGCACACAAACTGTCACTGGAATAGACGGGCCCGATAAGCCTTTCGCGGTCTTTACATTCTTCTATCGAGGTCAACGTAAGCTTTATTTCCGTTTTCTGTCACAATACCACTCTCTAACATGTCACCACAGGTCAATTGCAAAAGATGGGCATTCTACCAAATTCAAAGCAGGAAAAGATATCCAGCAGTGCTGCGAAACGAAGGTCAACACAGTTAGATTTCGGAAATATTGGCAAATTGAGTAATACTGGAACCGTTGGATTTTCCGCCTTTAGAGATAACGACACCTCCGCAAAGCGCAGCAAATCTAAAAAGAAGACTAATGGAAATGCCGGTATGATGGAAGACAGCGACGATGAAGACGATGACGATAATGGAGTAAAGATGGAAGAAGTGGATGATAAGGACGATCCAAATAAGACTTTGAGTACCGAAGATGCAAAGTTTCAGGGAGAATTAGCAGATGGGGTTGGACGAATCAAGGTATATTAATCACATTGTACTTGTAAGAAAGTATGCTAATACTGATTGAAGTTAAAACGCCAATATTCCGCTGGAAATTTGAATAACTTGGGCAGATCACCTAACTCAGCCAGCAATACATCTGGCAATGCTACTCCCGCCACAGATGGAGACAATAATGGTCTAACTTTACCAAACAATGTGTTCGGAAAGAGCCTCGCAGACGACAACTTTGTTGGTAGTCCCATGAAGAAACATAGAGCTAGCCTCCTCGGTGATGAGTCTCTAGATAAACGACTGGCAGGATTTTCGAGTAATCTCGACATCGTAGCAGCAGCCGAAGCTGCGCAGACTCCCCTCCCAGAGCCGGCAATGAAGGATGTCGACGAAGAAGAGCTATGATGGTTAGGGGCCATATAGGATGGAAGGAACACTAAAGATTTTGATATAGACATCATGGCATGATGAATTTCACGCTAATGGGTGTCTCATCTATCTCTCAATCTATTTGATGGATTGGAAAGCGAAGAGAAGCATGGCATGACACGCAGCGAGCGATATTTGGTTGGTTGGTTGATTTGTGAAAGGGTTGGCAGGCTTATCATATCATATCATATAAAAAGTATGATTTTTATACCTGTTAACCTGAGTCTTCACATGGGATACCTTGTTTTTATGGATTGATTGGTTGTTTGCATACATCACAGTATGTCTTGTAAAAGATCTCTTTTAATACCCTGAGCGCCTGCTGCACTATGGTTTCATGGCTGGCTACAGAGCTGGGTGGTGGGTGGTACCTTGGTAAGAATTGCTCCCTTCACTTGACTGCCTCTGGCGGACAGAGATTAGGTGGGTTTTACGTCTTCTCGTATGGGGATGGGTGGTTGGTCATGCATACAAATGGACAGAAAACAGATAAGATGAATAATATCAGTAAATAAATTATGCGGCCAGTTTCTTGTGAGTTATGTGAATGTACATGCAAATGTGATCTCGAGCCTGTCAGAATCAAGCGTAGTGGGAGAGGACAGTGCTAAATGCTCAGACAATATCTGCTAGTGGTGTCTACAGGAGGTTGCATCTTGCTTAGATGGATGGCAAGTGCCATGTATAATACACATTGGATACTTCTTGTAATTTCACAAGACTTTTTTTGTCATAGGGATGCGTAATTCACACCTCGGAAGGCACCTGGGGTAAGATGTTTGGAAATATTGTTACATTTTGCTACTCAAGTGATGTGCATAATGGATCTGGTGTGGTGGAAAACTATCTGTTGCTAGGGTCCAAGTAGATCCTGCATCATAGATGTGAAATTGATAGTTGCAAATTCAAGTTGATACTTTTCTCTGAAAAAATCATAAGGGCACTTTCAAATAATTATTTGTAACTAAGCTCAAATATAGATTCTTTTTGGAATGGGGAAATAGCCAAGGAGATAATAATTGTGTGTAGGTGTAGGTTGTTCCATCGAGTAAAAGTAGTTTTCTGGTGGCAGTGGAGGGTGCAGAAAGGATTTGAGGAAGCTCAGAGTGAAGGTGTAATGCAGGGAGATGAGAGGGTTGAGGAGGGATTACATTTTCGTGTAGCAGTAGAAGAGTTATTGGGTAAAGAAAACTTCTTGAATTTGTAATCTAGGATTTTGGATTTTGATCTACTTGACAGCATGTCCATCTGCGTATGAATATGTCCTGCCACTGTAGAGGGCAGTGACATATTTTGATCCAACTCAATCATTACTTCTTTTTAGACCAAGCTGTACAAAAGCCTGCTCAGCCATTGAATGAACTCTGTGTTATAGATCCATGCGTACTTTCATCTCTCTGCATTACGTCGGTTCGAACCAGTATCTCGTTGCTTTCAATATCCACCGCACTGTTGTTCAGACGATGAAATCCTTGAGCATGGATCCTAACCTGATGGGATGGTTGCAGGGATTGTAACTTTAGATCAAACGCTTTGTTTTCTCCGCTCCTGCCATCGCTAGGCTTGGGTGAATTGAAGACTCCACGTGCAGCTTCTCCAGGTCGGCTGCCTTTGATTGTTTGTACAATTCTTGAATGTCCAACTTTCTCAAGTAATGGGCGTAGTGTCATTAGGCACGCGGAAATCAAATAGCACGCCGTCTCTAGTTGAGTCCATATCATTAACTCCGCGCCGGTGTATGTTCCATCTGTGAATGAGTTTGCTTGGAAGAATATCGGAATACGTATGATCGAGATGATGAGGCCCCTTACAGCTGATTAGCTAGCCCATGTGAGATCTTTGGAGCTTAAACTTACAGACTCCCCGTCAGGAATGTGAGAGTCAATCCCAATTTCAAGCGACGGGTGGTGTGCAAGTTCCATATTATAGGCATCGGTAGTATAAGCATGGCAATATCAGTGGCAATATTTACGATTGGACCCCATCGGTACAAATCCTCCTTGTTGATACATTTAGCGCCAGGTATTGTAGGGTCGAAGTTTGCCGCAAATGGCCTGCAGGCTGCAAGTGCCACTACAATCATCACTATCGTGTAAACAACCAACGTTGCCATCAACGCATAAACACATATCCGAACCTTATTTATGATAAACAGGCGTTTATATAGGAGCAAAATTGCGTATTTTGGGGCTGTAGCGCAAAGTAGATACACTACCGTCCCAGCAAAAAGTTCCTTTCCCCATCTTTGCACCTTCCAAGGAGCCGTAAATTCGAGATAGGATGTATGGTAACCCAATCCAGCAGTTCTCAATGCGTCTGTCGTAACATTTTAGCAATTTGTCATGTTATTTGATCTATATTCAAGATATGTTTGATAGTTTGTTGCTTACCGAACAATATAGCAGCCAAGGCAGTTTGAAATACAAGAGCTGCAAATACCAAGACATCATCCAATGCCCAAGGTGCTTTTACTAACCGTCGAGTATAAAATCGAAGAGAGACACAAAGAGACACGACAACCAATAGGATGCAAGTGAAGATAGTAAGCTTCAGCCCTCCATAAGAGGGGTCGATGCCATCAGGTAATGAGTTCAGAGATGTAGATGCCATCGTGCCCGCCGAAAGTATAACCTACTATTGTTCGAGCTTTAACAATTTGAAAGAATTTAACGTGGAAGATACTGTAATGCGGTAGATTTTTATTGTCAGATGATCTTGGGTGAGTGGTCAATTTGACTAATTATAACGAGTAAACTAAGTTATGATGTACAGGCGAGTTCGACACATTGTGTTGATCAGGGAAAATTTCTTCAACTCCATTTCTGTAGTGAGAGGGCGTAGTAAGACTTCCCATGTCAGTATGTGTTTTTCAATGCCTCAACCTAGAAGGTAGCATTTTAGACACGCAGTTGATGTATTGGTGCGTGTTCCTAGACAAATCCGCCTGTTCGATCGCCATGAAGATTTCCTATTTCATTTTTTTCGAAAACATCAGCTTACAGGATAAGCTACGACGGTAAAACATAATGTTACGTTGGTCAGCCCGTTGGCTGACGTAGTTCAAACGAGGCACAGGTTGGTAAGTGTTTGGTAAACCAACTTTACACAATGCTCTAATTGGCTCACATAGATAGGTAGCAATAAGTATATAAAGTAGGGGTGAATAAGTTGGGAATCGTAAAACTTGCAAACCCCAGACAAGACACCATCTACTGCTTTCAAGACACGATTCTTGCCCAAATTCAGATTGCCAGCGTCAACATCTACAATTGCCAGAATGAGCTCCCCTCCTGAATATGTCCTCACTCGCGATTATCTTGATAATAATCGGTAATCACAAGTTTCATGATCTTTTTACTCCTGGGTGTTTTGTTACAATTGACTAACGTACTTCGTAGAATCAATTTGCAACACCATCTTTGGATACAACTGTTTGGGTATCTTGTTCACCCCAAAATTTCCACTGAGAATCCGAACTTAAGAATAGCAGATGTGGGTACCGGCACAGGGTTCGTACTCGCCTTTACATTTGAAAAGTTCTCAAGTTAATCCGACCAGCATCTGGCTCACTGACTTGGCCAAATCGCTTCCTGAGTCTGTACAGCTGGATGGCTTAGATGTATCATTCGACGCAACCCCTCCATCAGAGTGGCTTCCTTCTAACTTGACACTTCGTCAGTGGGATGTGAAGACAGACATACCAGAAGAGCTTATTGGAGTTTACGATATTGTCCACATTCGGAACTTTCTTTTTGTGTTGCAAAACCATGAGATTTCACACGTCCTTGGAAATCTCGTCAAAATGATTAGTTAGTTGATTTTCATTCCAAATCATTTATTGCTGCTGACAGGTACGTCTTTGTTTCAGAACCTGGCGGCTATCTCCAATGGGCAGAGCCAGATGTAGCGTCCTTTCGCATAGAGAAAACAAAGTCGGAGAATCCTACCAACGCAATGAACCGACTGCTCAAAGTTTCGCAAGGGCAAGATGCAAGGTTGAGCCCAACATGGGTTCCCAATCTTCCAGCGCTTTACAAGGAGATTGGCTTGGTGGATATCACCTCTGATGTTAAGATAGCGCCACCGTACCATGAGCTTGCCTTTCACGAATGCAGTATGATCATACATGAATTATTCGCAAGAACGACCAAAAAAGAAGGTATGGCCGAGCAATTGAGGGAATTGTTACCAGAAGTTGCCAAAGAAACAAGACGGGGCTCTTGTTGGGCTTTCACGCGCATGACTGTTGTTGGCAAGAAATCGCTTTGAAACTGGGTTGCGCACCCACATGTATTCCAAATTTAGCATTGTAAGACGGGATAAAAGATTCCCTGTCAATGTCAGTAACTTACCAATCTCTTTGAAGGGCCTTGCATGGTAGCGCTCATGGCATCTTGAAAAACTAAATACTGAGCACTTTCTATACGTTCGGGATTGGCCCGACTGGTTGCGGAGTTCTAGAGCAGTCAATTGATACTGCCTGAAAAGTTCCTTACTTTGAAATGATAGGAGTGTCCCTCCTATCTCAACGGCCTGGCATAGTCACAAATGTAGTCCTGTGGCGTTAATATAACGGTCCTGGCGCCAAGTAAGTAACACTCGCCAATCGGCTTAGCCAGACTTGGCCCGACTTAGCCCGACCCAGTGTGCTGGTAGCCTCTCAGATCTTACCCGAGTTTTAGCTAGATTTTCACAATGTATCTCACTACTCCGATACTATTCAGACGCACTCTGCAAAAACAAGCCGTGCATGAATTACTTCGAGCTACAAACAGTAAAACCTGTAATTAGGCATTTCTATTGACGATTTCGTGAACGATAGCTGCAACGGCCTTCAACTCATCACCCTGGTGTGGCACACTGTGTCCTCCTGCATGTAAGATTTCAACCCGACTTCTCTCTTCGCACATCTGGACCAGTTCTTTGCTCTGCTCTGCGTGAATCACGTCCTCTGTGCTCCATAAATGTACGGTAGGAACAGTGATTACCGAGTGAACATCCTTAGCTCGTAACGCTTGGATGTCCCCGTGTTCAAGTGCATTTAAATCGAGTGGGAGAGTGCCGCATATGAAAATTGCACATTTGAACCGAGGCTCCGCTTTGGCAAGGGTGTGGTAGTGATTAGGTTCGGATTTGGATCGTCGCATCTCATCCCGGAGGAGAAGCGTTGCAGCGAATGCGGCCCCAAGGGAGAATCCCATCACAACATGAAACGGGCCGTTGCTAGTTACGTATTGATCGAGATCGTCAAGGGCATCCTTGAGGCTGTCTCCTGATTCGTCAAAGTAAGAACGATATATTTGATGGTCTCCAAATATTCTGCTAATCTCAGGAACTACAGGCCATGGATAGGCCCCCTCCAGAAAATCATATTCATAGTCATCGCCTAATTCATACCTTAGAGCAGCTGTCAATCATCAGTTCGTTGAATGCTCTTTCTGCACTGGAATAGCGACACCTACCTGTTTGTGCTTCCAAAACCTGCAGTAAGTCAGATGTATCACCAATATAATGATCAGGAACTCATAGTGCATACCTCAGCATTAGTTCCGATCCCATGAAGGCATAATACCTTGATCATGTCTCTCTCTTTAGAATTCTCAGCGAAACCCATGGTAATGTTGCAGCGTTTAGCCAAAAAGAAGAGAGCAGGCCCACAAAAGTATTTTCGCGTGCACCCTTTACGCGGCAACAGTCGCACTATTTATCATCTATATACGCTCGATACTATGCAACCATACATCATAATGCTTTGCCTTGAAGACATCAAACTTCATGTGAAGCTTCTGAGTTAGGCCAGCATCTGCATAGTTACCTGATTTTATTCTTACATACACAGCACCCTTTTACTTCCATCAACCGCATAAACGATAAAAGAATTAGCTCTAGTGTCCTGTAATGAGAACTGATCAGCTGCATACAATGTCGATCAACTCCAGATTTGTCCAATAATTATGAGGGTGGCTACAAGGTGTAGTGTAGATGCAACACAAGGGGGCCACTGCTGCAATCGTTACCAAGAAATAACTGTCAATTGAAGCCAGGGTTGTTTTGTTGAAGCTGACTTGCATGATATTGAATGCTACCGACTAAAGTAAAGTCATGGCTAGCTGTGCCGCCTGACGCCATGAATGCAATTACCGAGACTACTACATCTTCCAATCCGTGCAGTAGCTCTGCTGAAATTAGACGGCAGGTAAGTCTGAAAGCAGCTTACTCCACTAGGATCGCAACCTTAGTCCGGCATCACTTGCATATAAATTGAAAATAGTTGTGGCGGCCATACGACAGGAAAACCATTGCAAATGTTAACAAATCAAGATATTTTTACATGCTGAAGCTTTGCTATGCAACCCGGAAAACCCGAAAGGCCCGACAATTTGGCTGTGTCGCTTGTTGTGATTCTTGAAGAAGCAAACGGGCATGCCAGAAAACCACCAAATTACTCTGTACAAATGTCGAAGTCATGCATCGGACCACTACATCCGACATAGCCTAGCACTGTTTGGAAGAGGCGTTTGCCAGGAATCGACACGACTTTGATTGTAAGTATTTCGGAGTTGCTAGTCTGCAGAAGAATCAAATGGTAAAAGGGTGTAGTGATATATGATCTGATTGTCCATTTCGATCTGTACGAAAATAATTTAATTGCTAGTTGACCTCGGTTATATTGATGGGTTTCTGACATGTGACGTTCAAACCATAATAATGATCAGTCTCGGAAGGTGCTTTACCGTTTCTAAAGTGTGAACGAACAGGAATACCAAAAAATGACAATCCCGTCGATCTTATGATCGTAACTTAATTGGGTGTAAAAGTTCAATGCTGCACCGAACATCACTCCTACATAAGCTGAAACATTTCGTTTCCGGGGACGTCTGAATAGGCAAAAGAGGCAAAGTAGACCACACCCTCCAGTGTAGCAAGAGATGAGTCTAGCTGCTTAAGCGGTCACTTGAACAAATACATTAGCCGAGCTTTCGAACCCAATGTGAATGGCAGGCTGGAGCTGTAAGTGGTGGGAAATCCGGCGTATTGCTCTTCCCCGAGTCGATAGAACTTGTCCACACCTTGCTTGAACATACATGAAAATACATTGCTGCGTTGCTACATGAACAGGCGGGAGAACTTAATCATAGATAGTCAACTTTCCTTTTGGAATGATTGATCACGGTTGTACAGAAACAGCTCGCGAGTAATCATGAACTTCAATTCTTCGGAAGTTGACAACTCGGAAAGTAGGAGAAATGGAAGCCACATGCCTCTTGCGATCGCGGAATTTTCGTTTGCATTCCCGCGAGAAGCTACGTCTGTTGGCAGTTTTTGGGAGATGATTTGCGAAGGTAGAACAGCAAGCTCGGATTTCCCCCCTGATCGCATGAATATACAAGGATATTATCATCCAGACGATAATCGAACAAGTACGGTGGGTTGAGAACTGACAAGACTACTGGAATAGTTAAAGCTAAAAAAATGGCAGATACCGCTCCGAGGAGGAAATTTTCTAGAAGAAGATTTAGGAGTGTTCGATGCACCCTTTTTCTCCATAACGCCAGCGGAAGCAGCATGTATGGATCCACAGCATCGTAAAATGCTCGAGACAGCTTATCATGCTCTTGAGGATGGCGAGTACAGCAGAACAATGACACGAGAGCTGAAAAATCTGATAATGTGTTCACAGCCGGTATTACACTGCACAAATGCTCGGGCTCAGATACATCGGTATACACGGGATGCTTCACAAACGACTATCTGAGTATTCTTGAAAAGGATTTTGAGGCGGAGCAGAAACACGCTGCTATGGGTGTTACACCATCGATGTTGGCCAACCGACTTAGTTGGTTCTTCAATTTCAAGGGAACATCCATGAACTTGGATTCGGCATGTTCAAGTAGTCTGATCGCATTACATCTTGCATGTCAGGATCTCCGCGCTGGGACATCATCAATGGTCTGTTAAAGTTGTCTGTATCTCGAACATTAAATGACTAATCGTATCTACTAGGCTCTGGTAGGGGGCGCCAACCTTGTTTACCACCCCGATTTCATGAAAATGATGTCAAATGGCAATTTTCTCTCTCCAGATAGTCAGTCCTGGAGTTTTGATGATCGTGCAAACGGATACTCACGTGGAGAGGGCATTGCTGTGATTGTCGTCAAGAGACTTTCCGATGCCCTACGCGATGGAGACACTATCAGAACTATCATAAGACAAACAGCTACAAACCAAGATGGTAGAACGTCGGGAATAACTCTCCCAAGTCAGCAAAGCCAAATTGAGCTTATAGAACGAAGTTATAAGGATGCGAACCTTGATATGGAGCCTACGAGGTTCTTCGAGGCTCACGGTACCGGGACCAAAGCCGGAGACCCTGTTGAAGCAAATGCTATCGGCAAAGCATTCCGACACTGTCGTAGCAAGGAAGATCCACTTTATATTGGAGCCGTCAAAGCTAACATAGGTCATTTAGAAGGTTGTAGCGGCCTTGCAGGTGTCATAAAAGCATTATTGGTACTTGAAAAAGGAATAATTCCACCGATAGCCACATTTCAATCAGTGAATAAGCAGATAGACGCAGAGTCTCTACATATCTGTGTAAGATGTAATCCCTGTCGGTTAAATTAAAAAACTAATATAGTCAGTTCCCTAGGACACAATTACAATGGCCTACGTCTACTCTACGTCGAGCTTGTGTAAGTCAGCCAACAGTGTTTTAGAGGAAAATGCTTACTATATTCGCTAGGTGAACTCATTTGGTTTCGGAGGCACAAATGCACTTGTTATACTTGACGATGTATACCACTACCTGAACGCGAATGGCCTGCATGGTTGTCATCAAACTCTGGAGTCAACACCCACGACACTGGGAGTGGTCCGAGGCGAGGTCAATGGTCACAAGCGCATCAAGTACAGCCAAGAATTGGTACTACCGAGCAACGGCAATAGATCCGGTAGTGACATGGCTAGGGTTTTTCACTCATCACCAAAACTAGTCGTATGGTCGGCCTTTGAAGAAACATGAGCACAGAGGATGTCCGACCTTTATAGTAATTTCATTCGCGAGGAAAACCCATGTATAGACGATCTGGCTCATACACAAGCAGTTAGACGGAACCATTTCCAATGGAGGAGCTTTATCGTCACAAGACAGCACGATAGCACTAAGTTTGAAGCACTCGAGCCAATAAAGCCAATAAGAGCAAATAAAGAACAGCGTATTGCATTTATCTTTACTGGACAGGGAGCTCAGTACCTCGGTATGGGTAGAGAACTCATTTCTTTCCAGACTTTCAAAGACAGCCTCAAGGACTCCGATAGATGTTTGAATAGTCTTGGCTGCACATGGTCTATTCAGGAAAAGATTGAAGAATCTCACCATAATTTTCCTATTGATAATCCGGAATATAGCCAGCCGCTGACTACCTGTCTCCAAATTGCCCTTGTAGACCTACTAAAGAGCTTTGGAATCATACCATCTAGTGTTATTGGCCACTCTTCCGGGGAGATTGCTGCGGCTTATGCCGCTGGTGCACTGTCCCGGTCATCTGCTGTCAAAGTATCGTATTTTAGAGGAATGGTATCTTCTAAGCTTGCGACTTCAAGAGACGATATGGGAATGATGGCCGTAGCACTTTCAAAAAGCGCAGTACTTGCTTATCTGGACAGATTGAGAGAAGTCGAAGGTTTCGTTCATGTCAATATTGCCTGTGTTAACAGCCCCAAAAGTATCACCCTGAGTGGAGATAGTACACAACTAAAAGCACTCTGTCAATGGCTCACAAAAGATTCAATATTTGCTAGAAAACTTCGTGTTTCCGTGGCTTATCACTCAGAATATATGAAGACCATCTCTAGCGAGTATTACGACGTGCTAGGACCCCTCGAAAAGGGACGGAACTCGAAATTCATTCCCATGCTATCCACAGTAACGCAAGATATAGTGACTATTGAGCATCTTCGTGACCCCACTTATTGGGTCCAGAACATGAATTCCCCCGTCAACTTCGAAGGCGCAGTTTCAAAACTTTTGGGACAGAGCTCACAGAAACAACGCAAGGTTTTAGGTGGAGAGAATGCAGACAAAAACTTTTGCTTCACTCAGATTGTCGAAATTGGCCCGCACAATACGCTCCAGGGACCTGTGCGCGACATCATTTCGAATATTGAAACACAAAAAGCAAAGCCTTCATACGTGCCCTGTCTCTTTCGAGGCCAGGATGCGTCCGTAACCCTATTGTGCGCTGTAGGGATGCTGCAAAGCTCTGGGTATCCGGTCAATTTGGTCGCAGTTAACAACAGCGAAGCGACAGACAGAAAGTGTCGTATGCCATCGAATATGCCAAAATATCCTTTCAATCACAAAAGTTCGTACTGGAAAGAAGGTCGACTAAGTAAGAACTTTCGATTTCCTTCTTTTGCCCGAGACGACCTTCTTGGAACACGCAACCTGGACTGGAACCCTAAGATGGCCCAATGGCGAAATGTTATGCGACTCTCTGAAGTGCCATGGCTAGAAGACCACCAAGTACAAGGGGAAATTTTGTTTCCAGCCGCAGGTATGGTGGTCATGGCAATAGAAGGGCTTAAGCAGTTATTCGACCAGACGGCTTACCTTCAAGGAGTCCAGATAAAAGATATACACTTTCTTCATCCTATTGCGTTTCCAAGAGAAAGTGATAAGGTCGAAACTCAGCTGAATATATTGACAGAGACATCTTCTATCAGTAACTCTTCTTCTTGGTCTTACTTTCGTCTTTTTGTGATAGAGAGTGACAAATATATGGAATGCTGCAGCGGCTACATTCGGCCTGTTTTGGATGAAAAGAACCGGAGATACGCTACGAGTGGTCTATCTTTTCTAGATGGTGAATCGCTCCCAGAATGGCTGTCGAATACTTTTGATGCTTGTCGAGAACAGGCAGATCCTTACTCGGTAGAAACTACCGTAAAATATGGGCCATGCTTCCAAAACTTGAGCAATGTGTATCTTGGTCCTAAAGGAGAGGCAATGGTGGAGATAAATACTAGATCGTGGGCATCAAAGAGTGCCAATTCGTTCCACCAAGCCTATGCTGTACATCCATCTACAATTGATGGATTAGCACAACTAATGGCGCCGACAATTGCCAAGGGCTATAATGTTAAACAAACAATGGTACCTGTTCATGTCTCCAACATATGGATCGATTTTATGGGCTTTCAATCACTTGAGGGAGCGAAGATTCACGGGGCTGCGCGATGTAAACTACGTGGGTACCGCGGGGCAACTGGAAATGTTGTTGCGACCCCTATAGCTTCTTCCACTCCCCTTATAGTTCTCGAGGGGCTTGATACTAGCTTCATCACGGCTGCTAGTCCCCCGAATATCAAGCACTTTCAACCGCGCAGCCTTTGCACACAACTAGTCTGGAAACCAGATATTGACATGATGAGCAACCAACAGATAATTCATTGGTGTACTATCAACAGACCAACAGGGGCGATAGAAGAGCTATACAAATACGAGCGCTTGAATAATTTCATCCTGTTATTCATACTTGAAGCCCTCGATATTATGGATCATTCATCCTCGTCAGCAGTTCCACATCTAGAAATGTATCTCGAATGGATGAAGTACCAACGCGATCGTCTCAGCAATGACGACCTACAAGCAACTTTGGAACTGCTTCAAGATAGTGATAGACGCAATCAGCTCACTGTGCAAGTCGGAAACTCTAGAGTTGAGGGAGTTTTCTTCCTGCAAATTGGACAGGTACTTTCGAAAGTACTTCGTGGGGAAGTGGATCCTCTCAATGTAATATTCAATGACGGTCTAGCCGATCGTTACTATGAGGAGATGCTTTCAAATGATTATTATACTCATCCGTCATCAGCCTTTGTTGAACTACTTTGTTTCAAAAACCCTTCAATGAAGATCTTAGAAGTAGGTGCGGGAACCGGGGGTCAAACTTTGCCTATACTCAAGGCGATGACTTCAGACAAAACAAAAATGTGGTCTCGGTATGATTACACTGATATATCACCAGCGTTCTTTGGCCAGGCAAGAATCAAGTTTCATGAGTATATTGATCAGATGGAGTTCCGCGTGTGTGATATATCCAAGGATCCCGCTTCGCAATCATTCGAAACAGAAAGCTATGATCTTGTGATTGCATCACATGTACTTCATGCCACAAATGATCTCGATCAGACACTGCGTAATATTAGAAAACTTCTTAAGCCTTCAGGGACGCTTCTACTGTTTGAAACTACTCGACCGGAAGTCCTTCATATTGGATTTGCATTTGGTCTGCTAAAAGGTTGGTGGAGTCCACTTTCTCTCGAATCTCGATCCCAATGCAGCCCATGCTTGACAACAGAGCAATGGGACAGTCGTTTGAAAAGAGCAGGCTTCTGTGGTGCTGAAGTAGCAATCCCAAACCAGGAAAATCTACAATGTCAATATAGTAGCACCATTATCTCCAAAAAGGCCGAGTCTGGTGTTCAACAACAACCAATTTCCGTGGACGTGGACATTGCGATTGTAGTGGATACTCAGGTACCAGGCCAGTTGGATATCGCGAGACTATTAGAGGTTCAGTATGCTAGATGTGAAATCTACACGTTAGCTGAATGTGCTGCAGCTGATATACCTGCCTCGGCTCTAAACTTATTTCTAGTCGAGCTAGATGCAATATTCCTTGATGATATCAGCGAAACAGACTATTGGCATCTACACGGAATTTTGAATAACTCATCGAAGACATTATGGGTCACTAGAAGCCCGTCTGACTGTTTTGAGCCACGACATCACTTGGTGGAGGGTTTAGTTCGGACATTGGCCTCTGAGAGCTTTACGCGTAAATTTGTTACACTTTCCTTGGACAGCAAATTTGACTACGAGGCATCACGTATCGCGAGTCTTACTTCTGATATCATTACTCAAATCACTAATTCTGCAGTTGTGGACCTGGAAAACAATTATGTGAGTAAGAATGGAGCACTGCAGATCGGTCGTGTTCGTGAATACAGATCTATGAATGATAAAATCGCGCGCCAAACTCTACCACGCCATATGAAGCAACTTAATCTTGAGACCGACACACGAATCTCACTGGACTTGGAGTCTCCAGGTCGACTAGACACACTACAGTGGATTTCTAATGGGAACGAATCAGCTTCAAAGCCGCTAGACCAGGATGAGGTTTTGGTTCAGTTAAGGGCTCTAGGGTTAACTCTACGAGATTATCTACTTGTCAGTGGCCAGATCAACGATTCAGGGTTTGTAACAGAATGTGCCGGAGTAGTTCTAAAAGCAGGCGAAAAATCTGGTCTTTATCCTGGAGATCGTGTGTGTGCCATTGGCAAATCGTTAGGTTGCTCAGTGCTGCGCTTAAAAAAGGGAGCTGTTGCAAAGTTGCCGGAACAAACGAGCTTTGCAGAAGGTGCTGCGATACCTACTTCACTTTGGCTAGCTTATCACGGCTTGGTTGAAATAGCAAGAGTACAGAAAGGAGAATCGGTGCTGGTCATCCAAGCTTCGAGCAGTTTGGGGCAAATGGTACTTCAAATAGCCAAAAGCCTAGGTGCAGAGCCGCTCGCCATGGCTAGTTCGTCTTCACAGAAGATTCTCCTTGAAAGTTTTGATCTCCCAGAGACGAAAGTTCTCTGCGATGATGACTCGAGCATCTCTCTCAAAGATAGCATATATCGAGCTACCCATGGAAAGGGCGTCGATATCATCATAGGACCAATCACAGAGGATCTAGATGTAGATTATTCTGACCTCATCGCACCATTCGGCAGACTCATAGATACTGGGATCAAGGGTGAGCGGCGATCACTTGTAAAGCCATACAGACATACGATTACCAATTCATTACAGGCATCAATAGACCTGATTGACCTTCTCAATAAGAACCCAGATTTAGTCTATGATTCATACAGAAAAGCGACAGACTTCTGTTCCGAGCAACATCTGAAGCCACCGCAGCCACTCCAAATATTTCAGGCTCACGAGATTGAAGATGCTTTTAGACACTTTGAAAGCAGCAGTACGACTGGAAAAAGAGTTGTCCAACTACAGCCGGGTTCTGTTATACAAGTATGTCTAGAGTATATCTGTGCCGTTACATCTTTGATAGCTAGCTGACCCTATACCAAAGGTGAATGTTGAGACAAAACCAGAGTATCAATTTCCAGCGAACGCAACATATGTCATAGCAGGAGGACTGGGAGGGCTCGGTAGGAGTTCTGCGAGATGGATGGTTAAACGAGGTGCTCGCAATATGATCCTCCTCTCACGCTCAGGTATCAATGATTAGAAGGCGGCACAAGCTCTTGTGAGCGAGCTCGAGGCTCAAGGGGCTTGCATAGCTACCCCTCTCGTTGATGTTGGCGATTTGAATAGTCTAAGAAGGGTGCTGAAGCAAGTCTCAAAAGAAATGCCACCAATTCGAGGCTGCATCCAAGCAACTGTGGCATTAAGGGTTTTTTACCGAACAATTTTAAGCATGCCTCATTATATTAATCTGGTAATAGGATAATTTGTTCGAAAAGATGTCGTATGAGGACTGGGATATCAGTACACGCTCGAAAGTGACAGCGTCATGGAATCTCCACAAAGTGCTACCTTTAGACCTCGACTTTTTTGTGCTATTTTCTTCCATCAACGGCATTTTCGGTGGTCGCGCACAGGCAAATTATGCTGCGGGTAACACCTTTAAAGATGCGCTCGCTCATTACAGAGTGGCGCTGGGGCAGAAAGCAGTGTCAATCGATCTAGGGATGATGGTGGATGAGGGTGTAGTAGCAGAGAATGAGTCTGTGCTTAATTTCATGCGCCGCATCGGCCACTTGATGGACATTCAGGAGGAGGAGCTTCTCGGATTGTTAGACCACTACTGTGATCCCAAACTACCTCTTTTATCTGCCGATCAGACCCAGATCTTAGTAGGTATCGAAATGCCCTCGGCAGTTCTGGCGAAAGGTATTGATCTCCATCACTCCATATTCCGACCAATGTTCCGCCAATTATTCCGAGTTGTTCCAGAAGGCTTGAATGAAAAAGGGCAATCGCAGAATGGCGCCATTGCAATTCTCGATCGCGAAGGTCTCTTGAGAAAGGCAGCATCACTCCAAGATGCAATCACTTTGGTCGCCGAGTGGTTCTCAGGAAAGATTGGTCAAATCCTAGGACTGACTGTCTCAGATATTGACACGAATAAACCAATCCATACTTATGGCATCGACTCGCTAATTGCGATTGACTTGAAAAACTGGCTAGCAAAGGAGATAGGTGCAGATATTGCAGTATTCATGTTGCTGGGCAATAATTCAATCGAGGATCTGAGCAGAATGGCAGCCGAGAAAAGCCGGTATCGCACATGATGAGCTCTATTTAGCTGATTTCTGGTGAAAGGATATTCAATTAGTTCAAAATTTACTGATGTTCCTAAGACGTGTTTGTGAGTGATTAGGCATTTTCATTGGAGGAGGAATGTCTTGTAGATGAATTAGACGAAATGAATGTCTTGATTTGATGGTTTCTAAGTACTGTGCCATATTCCTCGTTCGAGTTGTATGAAGCTCTTATCTATACCTATTTGCTGCAGTCAAGCATAGTCAACCCATCTCAAATCTCTACGATATTTTCATAGTTCTCATGCGTGCCGAGAGACTAGTTACTTTTTTTGGCGGCGGGAGCTGCGTACTGTGTGCGGATGTGAGCGGGGGGTGTGGAAAGACTGGAGTGCTGGACTAGCAGGAGATACCGTTCTGATAGGGGTTGGATATAGGATTGGAGAGAGTTGACGGGGATTGGGAGATAGTAGGGAAGGAAATTCTCGTTACATTAGGGGCAACTGAGAGGAAATATATTGCTGTCTATTCAGAATAGTGCATATCATATAGATGTAGCAGAGTGAACTGGTTTAGAAGTGTACAGCTTGTATAGTAAACTAGAACGTAAGATCGATTTTGAAACCTGGGCACATAGAGTGACGCTAATGAATAGCTATGGCTCCTAGGAATGTAGTCCGTAGTCAGCGATCAACACTAGGATTTTGCCAAACACAGATCCAAGAAATACCGGACGACCGAAGTCATGCAACTGTAGATGCTGGATTGTGGATCAAAGGAATCATGAAAGACTTCGCTCTATTGGTATGACTAGTGAACTAGGGATCGAAAGACCATACGTTTGTTCCGGTTACATCAACGCTTCGAACGAGACGACGGCAGCCTTCATTGAACCTCCATCTTGGCTAGCCTGGTTTACGCCAAATATCAAGCCTTGCGGGAAATCATACAAACCTGTGACCTCGCGTATTATTATGCAAACGGCAGTCTGATATTTGTAGGCCGAAAGGACACCCAGGTCAAACTTCATTAACAAAAAATCGAACTTGGAGAGGTAGAATGATGCGTGCGAGAAGCTATTCCTGGATAATTCCTCGTCAATGTTGTAGCTGAGATTGTACCCTCTAGCGGTCTTGCGAAAAATCCAAGTCTCGTGGCTTTCTTGCAATTCCAGAAAGAACGGGGAAAAGAACTCGAGAACACAGGAATTACACAGCTTCGTGACCATCTATTCGCTTGCTTACCAATTGCAACAGCAATGATTCCGAAGTATTATATTTCTGTCGATTCCATACCTGTACTTTCCTTGGGAAAAAAAAGACCACACGTCTCTACGCCAGCTTCCAGCCACCCTTAACTCTCAGCAACTAGGCGTCTCGCTAGATGAAACTTCTGAGAAGCTTCCACCTACTTCAACGAAAGAGTACAAACTTTGCAAATTCTGAGCAGCATTGCTCGATACGAGTGAGGAGAGTATAGGAATCAATGATATCAGCCGTTCTATCGCCGCATGGGAAAATGCCGTATCTCAAAATGCAATCTTACGCACTCGCACCAATTTCACCAGGTCGTCGATTTTGCAAGTAATGCTCCGCGAAAACATTGATTGGCAAACCGCAGTCAATCTACACGAGTACCTCGATCGCGATAATAGTGCAGCATTCGATTATGGCACCGGGCTTGTACGTTTAGGTCTGGTACCGGATCAGGACGGTGCTCATGATTTTATATGGACAAGTCATCACAGTGCCCACGATTGCTGGAGCCATTTCGGCATGCTTATATGTTTGGGGGATGTTACGAGAGAGCTGAAACGACTCGATCATCACCACCTTTCAAGAACTTTGTTGCTTATCTTGAAGAAAACAAGGACGGGAATTGGGAGCAGTACTAGCTTAAGAATTTCTAGTTCGATCTCTCGATATCAGTATAAATTTACGATCACAGAACGAACCTTACAAAGAAAAAGATCATGTATTTAATTTTCCTCGCTATCAAAAATGATATTTATATCAGACTATGTGCTTGCATGCCTATGTTCTTCAATCTTCCGTCTCCAATATTGCTCTCCTTGTGGCCCCTCCAATTTGTAAACAGCAAACAATAACATCAAAAGAACCTAATAAGCTCATTCATCAAAAAGGTATAACACAAATCCGCCCATTCTCATAACGCTCTCGCTGGCTGAAAAAACCTAGAACCCCCCTCCCTCTTCTCCATCCCCTCACTAGAATTCAAAAGAATATAACACGTTATGTGTGAATCGAAAAAAATTAGAAAGAAAGTGAGAAATAAAACTGGAGTCCATCATCCATCATCATCATCCAACTGCGTACATTGTATCATCATTTCATGAACTATCATACTCACAAACTCTTACTTCATACCCAAACCTCGTATCCAATCATTACTACTCCGAGTTCCTCGAGCCTGTTGATGAGCTCAACAGTTTTGAAGATAATTACTTGGTACCAAACCCGGTCGACCATTTTTTCCAGCTACTTCTGCCTCCCACCATCCATCATCTTGGTGCGTCATAACGGCAAGAATATCTCCCTTTGCAAAACTGAGTTCTTCGGGGATAGCTGCTTGATACATATAGAGTGCGCGAGCTAAAAGATTGTTAGTGTTACTCAAATGATCAAGACCAGGGGGAATTTACCGAAATGTAGAATGGGACGGCCTTGACTGTTAAATTGACGGACATCCGCAACGCTTTTACTTCTGCTTCGGGCTGCCAATTGCTGGTCACTTCCACTTCCATAATGGCTCATGGCTCTCGAGCCGACACTAGCTCTACTGCCACTTCGTCCCTGAGAGCCGTAACCGTCATCATGACCCGAGGCTAATTGTATTGCCATGCTGTTATTTACCATACCCATTGAATGACTACTGGAAGGCCTATCTTGTTGTGCAAACGGGGCCTTGACATGACTGCTGCTAGGTCTCTCTTGTTGCTGAAAGGGGGCTTTGACGTGGCTACTGCTGGGTCTTTCTTGTTGTGCATATGGGGCTGGCGAGACGCCACGAGCAGAAATACTGGGGGAGTTGCGTTGATAATAAGTATCAGAGCCCCGCTTTTGCTGAGGAGCGGAACCAGTACGAGAGTGAGTACTTCCAGCGTATTTAGGAGAGGCGGCCTGTCTCATTTCGGCCTGTGTTCCAGGTCGAGGGGAAACGCTCCTAGTGGGCGCTGGTGATGTATTTCGAGGCATATCTGACCCCCTTGTTCCGGGACGTGAGCCATACCCGGCTTGTTGTGAATCTGGTCTTGGCTGGGGAGGACTAAACATATTCGCCGTTTGGTCGACGTACTTTTGGCGAGTTTGCTGCATCGACTTTGAAGTGAAGGCGGGGGAAGGAAGCCCAAGTCTTTCGACGGGAGTTGGATCGTAAGACGGTGGGGGTGTGCCACGCATACCAGCCATCAAAGCCCCATTGACCATTTGAGATCCGATAGGTCTGGATGTAGGCGCCGCATCCGGTGCGGGGGTAGCCACTCCGTGATATTTATCTGCAGATACCCTAGTAGATGATGCTTTGGTAACAACTTTGAGATCAGCAAGAGCTTGAGCTATGGGATCAGATTCTTCTGCTGATTGGCTTGCAGGGGTGCTTTGAGCAAGCTTATTCTTCTTCTCAGGCGCTGCAACATCAAAAACGTTGTTTCCGATATTCAATTGAAAGTTAGCTCTTGGATCAACGGGCTCTGGGCTATTGCTGGGTCGATCAGTCAGCATCATAGTTTGTGGCGCTGGCTGTATCATTCTCGAATTTGGTCTTCCAGCTGGAGTACTCTGAACACTGGTATTTCGGCCGGACCATGTATTGCGATTTGATGGAGCTGGTCTGGCAATAGCAACTTCTTCTCCGCTCTTGGTGCTCTTTCTTCGAAATGGGCTATGGAAAATTCCACTCTTTTTCTTCTGGATCGGCTTCTCAACAATCGGCGCGCTTTGTTTTACTGGTGAAGCTTTTCCACTTGGAGGCTCTTGGCTTGAAAATGATGTAGGATTTGAATAATCGCTTTGGGAATCCCGACTGGATGGTCGTACTGGGCTATTCGCGGCGGAGCTCATATCTGAAGGTGCAGACGAGGGCCCTGTTCGACATAACATTGTCATGCCATCCGTAGGATGAGGGTTGTGGGGTACTTGAGAAATTTGTCCCTGTTTTGGAACCAATTGACCTTGTTGTTGTTCGTAAGGCATTTGTATTGGCTTCGACCAGTCCATCTTCGGTAACCTGGAGCTATCAGGACGTTGATAGTCCACTTGAGGCTGTTGCAAAATTTGAGGTTTATACTCAAGCTGAGCTTGTTTTGGGCGTTCTTGTTGACGATAATTAGCCTGGGCTTGGGCCTGGGCCTGGGCTTGTGCTTGCTTCTGTCTTTCGCTTTGTTGTTGTCTGTCAATTTGTTGATAATCAATGGATTGCTTCCTTTGCCTTTCTGCCTGTTGTTGATTGATGTGCGCTTGCTGCCTTTGTCTTTCTGCTTGCTGATAATCTTGTGGAGGTTGCTGTCTATGCCTCCCAGGTTGTTGATGATCGATTTGGGACTGGGGGCGGGCTCGGCCCGGTTGGGAATAACTAGCCTGAGATTGGGCCCTGGGACGAGCAGGTTGTTGATAATCTAACTGAGCAGGCGGGGCTTGTATAGGTGGCTCCGGTTCGTAATCCTCTACTTGGGCATGTCGTGATCTGTCCGGGGTCGAATTTGATGGTGTAAGCTTCTGAGGAGTGATGGTTGCCTCTCGGCTCTTCGGAGTTTCAACCTCATGAGCTAACTCCTTAGCAAGAGCCGATTGAGGATCGTGGTGGGATTCGTAGGTAGATGGTTGTGGTGAAGAACTTCTATAGGCTGGATTTATAGTCCGTTGAAATTGTGCTACCGAGTAAGCATCATCTTCAGAAGCCTCAGATTGTGAATCAGCATCACCGCGACAGAAATTAATGTATTTTGGCGGATCCGGAATTTCCTGCCCAGTCCCGCACTCGTTTATAAAAGACATGATATCTTTCTCTACCTC